CAGTTCTCCGCATCAAAAGTCGGCTTCTGAAGCTTGAGCACTCCGATTTCTCCATATAATTTCTGCACAGCTTCCAGGAAAATGTTCTTCTGTTCTAGAAGCTTGGGACTTGAGGTTGGCTTGTGAAATGAATGGCCATCATCGATTTGGTGGCATGATATATCTTATTATACATCACAGGGTTCCCATTACTTTTTTCTGCTGCATCATTATGTTTACAGCATAGTTATTGACTCAATACCTTCTATGCTGTAACTGCATTTCTTGTCCTTGCATCCTGTCCTCAATTAATAAAATCTTCATCTTTTCTTTTGGGTTATTTGTAGAATTTGTTCCATAAAACAACGGTGTTGTAAATTTTAAGGTGATCACTGTGGACAAGATATAACTGGAATAAATTTTCAGGTTTTGCAAAGACACGTAAAACTTCTAAATTCTCATTGGTGTGGAAATTGCGTGACACACAATTATCAGGAAAACATAACAACTCCGTACGAATTCAGAAAGTGCGGCCATACCTATTTCCATGGAAAAGAGCTACTTACTGGAGAAATTTTATATATAATTCTCGTTCAATGCCAGATGATAGTTCCCTATCCACGATCAGGTATACCATCAGCTCTTTTCATCTCTCTTTTTCTAATCCTCAAGGATATATTATTTATGTTTCCTTTTGGGGAGAAACTAATGATGCATGGCCATGTTACTTTCCCTTTTTGCTGGCGTAGCCGGAAGCTATTGCTATCAAGGAAGAGAGGTGCAATCTATACAAGATCAACTCGTGGATTTTCTCTTAAGATTTCCAAGGTGTTGAGTGTTGGTGGCTCTAGTTTGAAATGGTCAAAGTCAATTGAGAGGAACTCTAAGAAAGCTAATGAGGTTTGCTGAGCATAGTTGCTCATGGACTGAGAACTTCAATATTTTGCAAGTGGAAAACACCGAATTATGCAAGCGATAATATTGTTTATACCTCTACAGGAAGCTACACGAGCAGTTGCTGCAGTAGAGAAGAGGAAGAAAGAACAAACTGTTGCTGTTCCCATTGTTTTGAAGAACAAAAATCATGTTTCGCGTAAGTCAGTTCTTTGTGTAAAGCTGCGTCCAGGTACGCCAGCCTGCAATCCTGGTGTGGCATTCTCTTATCCAATTAACACATTTGCTTTTGGGTGTTAACGAGGGTTGGCCAGCATATATTCTGTATTAGTGTATGTACCAAAGTTAATATATATTCAAATAACAGGAGAACGGATATTTCGTATTGGTTCGGAGCGATACAAAATGGATTCGACGAGGAAAACACTTCAGAGGATTACAAATGGTGTGTTGCAGTTTTCCTTTTCGACTCGCTGTCCATGTCATCCTGTTTCATTCTTACTTAGACGTCACAATTCAAATAGCATTGTTATTATTTACTTCTAGAATGAGTAGATTTGATTCATGTTCATCATTTTCCTGATTTTGGTGTCTCATTTACTTTCTACTTCCTAGATTAATGTTTATTTACTTTTACTAGTATAATTCATTCAATTTGTTGCATAAGATTTGTTTGTTGCTATTAATTGAATGCTTA